TCATGAGGTCAATGTGTGATGTCATAAGGTCGATGTGTGATGTCATAGGTCAATTGTGATGTCATGAGGTCAATGTGTGATGTCATAAGTCAATGTGTGTGACATGATGTCAATGAGTGTGTATGATGCATAAGGTCAATGATGTGATGTCATGAGGTCCACTGTGTTGATGTCATCAGGTCAATGTGTGATGTTCATAAGGTCAATGTGTGATGTCTGAAGGTCAGTGTGTGATGTCATAAGGTCAATGTGTGATGTCTGAAGGTCAATGTGTGATGTCATGAGGTCACTGTGTGATGTCATCAGGTCAATGTGTGATGTCATAAGGTCAATGTGTGATGTCTGAAGGTCAGTGTGTGATGTCATCAGGTGGATATTACTGTGTGAGAGTTTGTTAAAGTGAAATGAGACGTTCAAAGATGCAGCAGTGTTCTTCTTGTCCATCAGTGAGACTACAGGGAGACACTGAGGACCACTATCTACGGAGAGCCTGAAGGGACAAACAGGAGATTAATCAGGATTTTAAGGAAGTGTAAAAAGAACATTTATTTACATCATCCATTTTTTGCTTTTGACAAAACGAAGACCACAGATCTAAAAATAATCTGCAGAATAATCGAAAGTGAAATGAATAATAGTTGCAGTTTTATTCTCCTTATCTGATAAACAGACGAGTAGTTGGCGAGCGTCTCGTCGTGGAGTCTAATGTGTTGCACAGAGTTCTCACAGTGAAGTCGTCTCAGGTGAGACTTCCTCCTGCTCGCTGTCAGCAGGTCGAGGGGACGTCGGGGGGTCGATGCATCAACATCTGCAGAATGCATGAACATGTTCTGCTCCACAGGGGGCAGCAGGGACAGGAAATCCAGACCTGACCAAGTTGTTGTTGTTTATCTTTTCCATTTCTCTGAACTCGGGACATGTGAACGCAACCGCGCTCAAACCAGGAATTGGACCGCTCTATGACTACATTCTTAACGGCTTTTGTCGCTTCATAAACTGTCACATCCTCGCAGCACGGCGCCGTTTCATCCTTTGAGCTGCACGGTACGTGAGGAAGTAGGAAGAGGGTCGTTGTTGGTGTCTCCACAGTCAGCAGGATGGACTCAGTCTGCGAGTGGTTGCCATGGTTACTTCTACTTCTTTCTGCTTCTTGGCGGATTTGCAAACCGAACCAATTGATTGCACAGAGTGTTTCATATCTAGGATTGTAAATTGAGGCGGCCCCTGATCATCTTCTGAGCAGATCGTGGAGGTTAAAATCCCTCCTATCACCTGAGGAACAGCCGTCAACATCGTCTTCAGAACCAAACCGGACTCTGGTCTGAAGGGGAATCAGGCCTGAAATCTGCCCGATAACTTGAAGTGTGTACCTCGCTTTAGTCCTGTAAAGTGTGTGTGCATTGGAAGTTTAAGGGTTAATTAAGTGTATCCCCAAAGCAGGAGAGAAAGCAAACACACGTGTTTCAGTTTAATGAAAGGAAATCGGATCTTTACGTCTTCATTTAACCTTTAAACACAAAGTGACCACGAACAGAAGCTTCACCTCCAGACGCTCAATGAAACGTTTCACCAGGAAATACCTGAGCTCAATGATTCTCTTTGTGGGTCATTTTAGAACATGTCGCTGTGTGACCCACGCTGAGGAGTCTGTGTGTGTGTGTGTGTGTGTGTGTGTGTGTGTGTGTGTGTGTGTGTGTGTGGTGTGTGTGTGTGTGTGTGTTCGTAGTAGATTATTGTTCTGTGTTTGGACGGCGAGGGAGACAGGAAAACGGGTGGAGGTGGGGGTCTTGGTTACCCTTTAACATACTGAGGGCTCTTTGTGCTACACAAACATGCACACACACACACGCACTCTCTCTCTCTCTTTTTCTCTTTCTCTCCCACACCCACACACACACACTCACACTCTCTCTCCCACACACACACACACACACACACACACACACACTCACACTCTCTCTCCCACACACACACACACACATACACACACTCACTCTCTCTCTCTCTGTCTCTCTCTCTCTCTCTCTCTCTCTCTCTCTCTCTCTCTCTCTCTCTCTCTCTCTCTCTCTCTCTCTCTCTCTCCCACACACACATATACTTCTTTGTCATACAGTCTCAGGTCCTCTGATCAGACTTGGATTCAGACCCAGCACATATTTCTAGCTCTAACTTCAAACGTCTCCTCGGTGAAGATAATCTCTCTCTTTCGTTTGTCTTTGTTGATGTTGAATGTTTTTCTAATCTGTCCCTGTTTGTCAAAACTACACACAGACATTTAACACAAAATACAAATCATTTAACATCTCTTGTAAACACAAACTGTACGCTCAAACATCAGATTAAAAGACGTCTCTTCCTCTGACTCCTCCCCTTCTTGTCGCTCTTTTACATCAGACATTGGACAGACTTCCTCTGGTGTGTGTGTGTGTGTGTGTGTGTGTGTGTGTGTGTGTGTGTGTGTGTGTTTGATACTTAAATGGACTTCTGTTTGTTGATCACCTTTACTCCCATGATTCCCTGCCAGCCTCGATGTCGTCTCTTGTTATTGTTTTGATTGAGAGCCGCCTGGTGGAGGGGTTGACATATTTGGAGTTTAAAGAAAAGTTGATTTTAAGTGTGTTTTTCACACACTAAATGTTTCATTCAGTTGAAACAAACCCCGAGTCTGTTTGCCAGGTTAGTGCCAAACTACCGGACAGAGACCGTTTGAAAAGGTCGGTCTCTGCCCGCTTTCTTATGAACCGAACTGGAATCAGAGACTTTGTGATTAAATAGTAGAAAAACACTCTGAAGGGTCGAGCAGTAATCGCATTAATTTAATGCAGTGCTTCCCAAAGTGTGGGCCGCGGCCCCCTGGTGGGCCGTGTGGGTACTACAGGTGGGCTGCGAAAAGGCCTCCACCAGGTATAAAAATATAACAAATATCACAATATTCAATGTTTCCCCTACCATTATATTAGCCCCGCCCCCTTGATGGTCAAGTTCATGTTATTTTATTTTATTTACTGATCGTTCAGCAGGTTGAGTCTCAGCAGTGAATGACTTTAAAGTTAAGGCTGAATGTTACTGGATTCAGGGTGAAGAGATGTGATGTTTCTGGTTGATGTTTGCTGTTTTTAATCACAGTCTTCAGACAAATCTGCATCTGGTCCTCGGCCAACAATCATCTTAATATAAGTTACATCTCAAACATGAAAATGATCATATTTAAGTCTTATCCACCTGATTCTGTGCGTTGGGTTGACCGTGCAGAGCAGCTCCTTTGGGTTTGTTCTCGATAAGAAGTCTTCAGAGGGGAAAAGTATTCCTTCACTGCTTTATGGTCTGTTATATAAACCCTCAGATTATCAAGAGGCTCGTAAAGAGGACTTCATGAGAAAGTGGTGGGAGGGTCCAGGGATAGGTGTTAGACTTCTGGACTTCTGTCAGATCCTGAGACAGTGTGCTCTGAAACATAAAAGCATGAAATATGTGCTCTGAAGGTTTGGCCGACTTCGGTTCACTGCAGAGAAGCTCCTGAAACATTTTACAGATGAGAGAATTTACGAGCAGAAAGACAACGAGACCAACAGAGAAAAGAGTCTTTGTTCGCTCCACATCTGCAGACGGAGGCGAGGGCCAGATATGACCTCAGAGTGACGCCTCCTGTCAGACAGATAAAACCTGGAGGACCCTCTCTGTGGACCACTGGATAAATAATCCATGTAGTCACCATGACATCACCCATCGTCCAGTTTGGCATTCTGCCTTCACTGAGTGCGCGAACAGGCTGTTTGGAGATTTCCCCTTCATGACATCATAAAGGGCAGTAACCCCTCCCCCAGATGGGGTTGACTCACCTCCAGTGGACGCGTGAGGACCTGGAGTTGTTTTTGCTCTTTATTTAGTCTCTGATGGTCTCTGTTCGAACTCAAACACTTTACACATTATCATTATCTCTCTGCTGCTGCTGGTCGGCCTGACAGCCTGCAGAGATACACACACACACACACACACGTACACACACACACACACACACACACACACACACACGTACACACACACACACACACACACACACACACACACACACACACACACACACACAGAGGACGATTAGTGAGCGTGTGTGTACTTACCCATAGCCTCCTATTAACAGAATTACCATGCACCTTATCCAGGTGTTGGCAGCCGAGTGCTTTACGACGGGGCAGGACTGGAATGTGAACACACGCTGTAATCCACATTATTATCACTTTACAAACACACACACACACACACACACACACACACACACACACACACACACACACACACAGGGCAGGAGTATACTGGAGCTTACACTCGTGGTTGAACAACCTCAGTTAATTCCACTTTTTTTTAGGCCTTTGGTCTCGTTTGAGCAGAATCCTCTTTATAACTGCAGGCCGACTTCTGGTGTAAAAAAAATGAAAAAGAGTGATGAACTGCAGTTCTTCCAATGTCCACTAGAGGCTGGCATCAAAGTCAGGGAATCCCCATCAGGTCCCATATTTAAATAAGCCGAAAGAAACATGTTTACTGACTGTTACCAAAAACAGTTAAGATCTTTGTAGCTCATTTCTGCACATGTCAAAACTCAAGGCTAGGAGTTTAGCTTGGATTTGCATAATCAGGGGCGTGGCTGATCTGTAGCGGTTTGTCCGGAGTCTTAAAGGTCACATATTCTGTAAAATCCTCTTCCCCATGTTCCTCTAACTCTAACATGTGTCTCTAGTCTGTTACAAACCCCCCAATGATGAGAAAAGTCCATCCTCTCCGTCTTTCCCCTGCTCCACTTTTCAGAAAATGTGTGCTCAAACAGGCTGTTTGGAGATTTTCCCTTCATGACATCACAAAGGGCAGTAGCCCCTCCCCCAGGTGGGTGACACTCCCACAGCTAGGTGTTTGTTCTGCCTCTGAGTCTATCAGTCAGCCAGAGCTTTTTAAACAGCAGTCAAATAGTTGTAAATGAACTTCCTGCCAAACGACACTCTCACACCTCTTCTCTGCTTCCCTTCTCTCTCTCAGTTTGATCCAGTTCCAGTCGGTCCAGCTGTGAGCGAGCCTTCTGCACATCTGTATCATCAGGATGAAGATGAGACAGCTCCGAGCTCTGAGTGGCTTCCTACTGCTCAGCCTGGTCGTCGTCGGCAACGCCCGGCCCAAAGCAGGTCAGTCTGCACACGCTGCGTCCTTCCCTTTATCAGAAAGACGTCCTGAAACTCAGCTCTGATAAATCTTTGACGGGGTTTTGAGGTGTGAGAGCTCTGCTTTAGATAACATCTGGCTCTGGAGATGTTCTCTGATGAGCGTGCATTACATGTCAACAATTTAAAGCGATAGTTCAGATTTTATGAAGCATGGTTTTATCAGAAACCCATCGATAGTCAGAGTGTTCCACTCAATAGATAACAGTCTGTTTCAGTCTAGATACCTTCACAGAGGATGAGCTATAAACCTCTTTATAGAGACTCATATGTAAACTTAAACATGTCCTTAATTAGAATCACTCAACAATGTCCCAATCAGCTGATCTGATCCAAAACTGCACAACAACGCTCTGACAGTAAAGCTGTCAAATTAATCAACAAATAGTGTCACTCAAGCCTGACCCAAAGGCCTTTGAAACCATGACCTGGATGACTGAGTTACTGTCTGCAGCGGTATAAAGATGAGCTTCTGTGTAGAAACACTGCAGGCTGCCTTCTGACTGCTCCCCTCTGTGTGTGTCTCTGTTGATAAGTTAATACAAACACTTGAAGTTTCCCTTTGAGACGCCCTTTAACTTGGATGTGTTTAACGTTGACTCTGCAGCTGAAGGTTGAGTTACACGCTCAGACGGTGAAGCAGACGTATTTATGAGACGTTACAAAAACATCCATTACTCATGTCTGATTGAAACTAAAGGTGGATTACACAACACTCCCACACGGACACACTCATCCTGACACTGAGCCTCGTCGACAACGACCTTTGAGGAGAAACTCCGGATGTTCATTAATCAAACGGTTTGTGTCCGACTCGTAAAAGTTCACGACTAACACAGACTCGGCTCAGAGCTCAGACATGACAGCTGTGTTTTTGAACTGAGATGATGTTACAACGCTGGAGTGTGTTCACAGGGAGGACTCACACGTAAAGACAAAAACAGGTGCTGCAGTCGTGATGGAGTGAGCTCAGGTGATAAATAAAGTGAAAGTTAAACCAGAGAGACTCAGACCGAATACAGACATCTGCACATTCAACTAAACACATGTGTCTCTTTATAAAGACTTGATTACAAAGTGTCTTAAAGGTGACAGCTCCTCCTCCTCTTCAGTTTAAGTCTAGAGCTCCTCAAAACATGTGTGTGAAGTTTCTTGTTCTAAATCCACTCTGATCCTGTATTTGATCATGTCTATAAACCCTCTATTTCAGCCCTGCTCAGAGCTGGCTGTTTCTGTGTCTGTACCTTTAAATATGTAAATTGAGCTGTGTCTGACCACGCCCCCTCTCTGGAAGGGCTCGGGTGTCTCGGTCTTTCTCGCTCCATGTCCTATTGTTTACGGTGAGAAGCAGACTCAGAGGCAGAACAAACACCTAGCTGTAGGAGTGTCATCCACCTGGGGAAGGGGCTACTGCCCTTTGTGATGTCATGAAGGGAACATCTCCAAACGGCCTGTTTGAGCACACATTTTCTGAAAAGTGGAGCAGGGAGAAGATGGAGAGGATGGACTTTTCTCATCATTGGGGGGTTTGTAGACGGACTAGAGACACATGTTAGAGTTAGAGGAACATGGGGAAGAGGATTTATAATAATATGTGACCTTTAAGTAATGTGACGTCAATGGAGAACATGAATTGTTGTGTTCTGTCTCTGTTGTGCTATAACTGTGTACCAGGTAATGCTGTGGGAAGTTATATAAACTTTAGTCTTTTACCATTGAAATGAGCTAATGCGTGTATTTATCATACTGTAGGGGATCATGTGACAGTGAACAAGGGGTTAAAACATACTTTTAGGTGAAAATATGTTTTTAGACCCGTTTCTTGTTTTTCACCTTCATGTTGTTTTTTTATGTCACAGGTCCGGAGCAAAATGTAAATCTGGTCCGGTGGATCTGGTCTTCCTCATCGACAGCTCTCGCAGCGTCAGACCTCACGAGTTTGAGACCATGAGGAAGTTCATGATCGACATCCTCGCCACCCTCGACATCGGACTCAACACCACCAGAGTGGGCGTGGTTCAGTACTCCAGCCAGGTACTGAAGGAGCTCAGCTTTTCAGATCTCAGCTTTAATGTTTTATTCTTTAACGATTACGCTGTGAGCAACTCCAGCACCATCTCTCTATTGAAACCATCTGCTGACCTTAATGTGGTTCAGATGTTTCCTTTAGGATGATTCATGGCTCTTAATCTAGTGCCATCTTCAGGTCAAAAGGTCATACTTTAATACTTCTCATCATGTTTTCTGTACTTTAAACAAATAATTGCAAAAGTATAAACTCCCATCATTCACAGAAGAAGGCTACCTATGCTGGGAGCTGATTAGCCAACGTTAGCATGCTAACTTTATGGTAAACCTAAGCTAAGTAAACCTGCAGCCCACACAGGACGACAGATTAACAGTTCAGTTCTTTGTGGAGAGCAACCGAATCCCCACATTAACAGATTCATTCACCAACAACCAGAGTCTCCATTTTCAGAGCTAGTCATCTCGCGCCATCAAACGAGATTTAAGAGTGAACAAACATGATGATAAAGCTAACTGTGGCTAGCTGTTAGCTCCCTTGCTGTAACAGTTTAGGTCCAGCTCCTCTCCTCTTCAGTTGGAATGTGGTTTGTTTTACAGACACGTTGCATAAACACACAAATCAAAAAGTTGCTCCTCCTTTTCTGACTCCCATTAACTAACTTTCTGCTTCATGTAAATGTAAAACATGTTTACCTCGATCGTCTTCTGAGCAGATCAGGGAGGTTAAAATCCCTCTTAACACGCCTCACACCTCAGGAACATCTGGAAACATCATCTTTAGAACATCAGATTTGCTGGTTTTGGTCTGAAGAGGGGCATCAGGCCCAGAATCAGGCCGATGATCTTGTAGTTAGTACCTCGCTTTAGTCGATGCATAAATCTTATTTTCAAAGTAGAATGTAGACTGAAACATTCACCTGAAGTAGGAGCCTCATCTGCAGCCTCTCTCTCTCTCTCTCTCTCTCTCTCTCTCTCTCTCTCTCTCTCTCTCTCTCTCTCTGTCTCTCTCTCTCTCTCTGTCTCTCTCTCTCTGTCTCTCTCTGTCTCTCTCTGTCTCTCTCTCTCCCCCCCTCTCTCTGTCTCTCTCTCTCTCTCTCTCTCTCTCTCTCTCTCTCTCTCTCTCTCTCTCTTTGTCTCTCTCTCTCTCTCTCTCTCTCTCTCTCTCTCTCTGTCTCTCTCTCTCTCTGTCTCTCTCTCTCTGTCTCTCTCTCTCTCTCTCTCTCTTTGTCTCTCTCTCTCTCTCTCTCTCTCTCTCTCTCTCTGTCTCTCTCTCTCTCTGTCTCTCTCTCTCTGTCTCCTCTCTCTCTCTCTCTCTCTCTCTCTCTCTCTCTCTCTCTCTCTCTCTCTCTCTCTCTCTCTCTCTCTCTCTCTCTCTCTCTCTCTCTCTCTGTCTCTCTCTCTCTCTCTCTCTCTCTCTCTCTCTCGTCTGTCCTCTGTGGTCGTTTGCAGGTCCGCAGTGAGTTCTCTCTGAAGACCCACGCCACTCTGGACTCCATGGTCAAAGGCATCAATCAGATCATCCCGCTCGCTCAGGGCACCATGACCGGACTCGCCATCAAATACGTCATGAACGCGGCTTTCATTGCCGAGGAGGGAGACCGGCCGAAGGTAAACAGGACTAACCACCTGTTCAGGTGCACGGTTTGAAGCCTCGGACTAATAAAGACTAAGTTTCATATTTGATCAGCATTAAGGTCAGTCTGGGAGAAAATAAAAACCTTACCGTCTCGCTGACTCTGACCTTTCCTCCCCCTCAGGTCCCTAACGTGGTCGTGATTGTGACCGATGGACGTCCTCAGGACCGCGTGGCCGAGGTGGCGGCCGAGGCCAGAGAGAAGGGCATCGAGATCTACGCCGTGGGTGTGGCAAGAGCTGACATGACATCACTGAGGGCCATGGCGTCCCCGCCGTTCGAAGACCACGTCTTCCTGGTGGAGTCCTTCGACCTCATTCACCAGTTTGGACTTCAGTTCCAGGACAAGCTCTGCGGTAAGACAGGAAACAAGTGAACATTCGGCTTTTTAATTTTTCATTCTCACGCCCAAAACGAGAGTCAGCAGCTTCTTCCTTCAAAATAAAATACAGACTTCTCCTTCAAAATAAAATACGGACTTCTCCTTCAAAATAAAATACAGACTTCTCCATTGTCCCTTCTGGGCCTCCGTACATGGTGGTGACTGTGTCTGCAGAGACTCTGTCCTCTCACTGGATTTTACTGTTCTGATTTGTTCTGGTTGACTCGTTTCTGGGCGGAGCTGGTGTGTTTCCTCCAGCCAATGAGAGCGCAGCAAGTGAGTTTAGGAGTGGATACAATTCAGTGAAACACCAAGTGGATAAAGCTCGTTCTAAAATGAGGGTGAACCTTGTGTTGTCTTTTACCCGTGGACGTGGAGTTGGTCTACTTCCTGTTGGACAGGAAGGTGACAAACACCGGCGGTTAGCTTGTGCTAGCATGCGTTAGCAGTGTAGGTACAAGCAGTAAATGTACACGCTACATCCTGCAGGGGGCGGAGCTTCTGAGCCCAGGAGGAGGGGCCCAGTTTGAATGTTGTGTTTACAAACATTTCTACTGACTCCATCTTGTCTGTAGACTAACACGACTACAACTGAGATCTCAAACATCTGGATTGTGTTGAATTTTGCCTCTTTTTGGACGAGTTGTATATTTCAGGCTTTCACAGAGTTTTATAGAATGAGAGCAGAACAAATTACACAGTTGAACTAGAAATGAAAACATGAATCCTTGTCCCTAAAACGTACAAAACCCTAAGAAAACCTTTAGACCAGAGCAGACTACAGCTGATTAAATCCCTCTGAGAGGAGTCGTTCTCTCTGGATCAGACTTCATATTTCTGTTAAATCCTCGTCTGAATCCTGTAAAGACTTTCGATACCACACATGGATTTTTTAAATTTGAAACAAGATGAGTTCAATCCTGCAGAATCTGTGGGATTTAAACTTCAAGCTCTCAGTCTTTTTGTAAATAAAATAATCACCGCGCCCATCTGACCTCAAACATCTTTAAACTTTATCAAAACAAACTCTTCAAATGTCTGAAAAGTCGAGATCAGTAAAATCCCTAACTTCAGCCTCTGCCTGAAATGGTTCCTTTCAGCGTCTGTCTCTTTAAGCCCCGCCTCCCCACATGCCCACTCTCTTTTGATTGGCCAGCTCTCAGGAAGCCCTACAGGGGTGCAGAATGCTGCAGGGCTGCCAGGAAAGGGCTGCTCTCCAGTGCTGGGAGAAGAGAGTCTATGTAAGAGGTTTCAGCGGCTCACGTAGAGGCTTGAAGCAGTCTGGTGAAATTCTTGGTTTCATATCGGGGAACTATGGCGTGATTTACAGAACAAGCCGTTTAGCGCCCCCTGCAGTCTCATCCTGAGATTATTCTGATATACGTTTACCTCATGATCTGAAACTCCGCCCACATTTAGTTTGAGCAAACAGCATTGTGACATGTGAGTTTTAAAATGGAGATCAGCAGGATAGGTCTTTAGACTTTAACAAAGAGTTTGATGCTAACTTGTGATTTCAGTTCAGTGCTGGTGTGGATGGGGAAGGGGCTTAATTGACTGTGACATTGTAATATCAACACATGACACAATGTGTCTCATTAGATTTAGATTGAAGTGTTCATCAATCCTGATAGGTGCTCCAAAGATAGTTTCCCTCCTGATTAAGCCCCGCCTACCTCGAACATAAACAAGAACACAGTTGAAACACAAATAATGACATGTGGAACAAAAACTACACTTTGACCTTTGACCTTTGGTATAAAACGTTGTTTCCTGATGATCCTGAACATCTTTTTTAGCCGGTCATTGATGTAACTTCTCTTGTTCAAACCGACCTGTCGTCTGCTGCAGGAATGGATCTGTGTCTGGAGTCGGATCACGGCTGTGAGCACATCTGTGAGAGCTCGCCGGGCTCCTTCCACTGCCTCTGTCTGCCCGGATACACCCTGAACAACGACGGCAAGACCTGTGCAGGTAACGCAACACCACACACCAAAAGTCATAATCAAAGACGGAAAATAACCATTTTCTGAACTTGCTGTCAGAAAGTAATTTACATGATGTATCACAGGTTTACTTTTCTTTTTGCTGAATGAAACTTAATGATGTGACAATTCTGAAGCAGCTTCTGCAGTTACAGAAGAATCTGTTTTTCAGTTTGACTCAGGAAGAGTTTCACATTCACGTGCAGCTGTTTGTGGTTTTCAAGGTTTAAATACCGTCACTGCCTCCATCAGCTTCACGTCAGATTCACTGTTAACGAGTTTCAGGTGAAGTAATCCATCAGCCAAACCAGAATAATTAACACCTTGTTGACCTCACACAGCGTCTTAACCTCACACCTCTCCTGCTGTGATAATGAACGTAGCTACAGAATGAATCACTCTCAGATGTTTGTTCAGCAAACAGCAGCCTCGTGACCTACATGTGAATACACACGCTCATTCTGAGACGAGAAACAGGACGATGGACGAACGTGTGAATATTTAAAGGAGCAGTATGTAACTCTGACCCCTAGTGTTTAAAATGGGTACTGCAGTCTAAATTCAAATCATCATAGAGAGCTGTCTCCCCCCCCTCCTCTCTAGAGTGGATGCTCACTCAGGTCACCATGTGGTGGACTCTGAAGCTTCAGTGTTTATCCAGCTCTGCATGGGTCTGTAAACCTTTCTGTGTTCTAACCTCTCTCCATTTTTCAAAAGCATCTCCAATATTGATCCTAGTTTGAGCACGTTTCTGCTCGTGGAGCTTATTAGAAACATGCAGAGGCTTTTTAGGTCGGGTACAATCACTTCTATCTGAACCACTTCTCTTGACCGCTTCCATCGCTGCAACACCTGTTGACCTGATAACTGCTCTCATATCTGACAAACCGAGGGGCGTCCAAAACGGCCGTGTGGGGGGTCGCCTTAAAAGCGCCTACCTTCTCTGGTCCAAACAAATCCAGAGCATTCAGGAGCAGAATCTAGAAGGAGGACATCTAACACACGTATTAAGTAAAGTTTTCCTCAAAAAAGCACATAACATGAAGACACACAAAGTTAATGTGTGTGTGTGTGTGTGTGTGTGTGTGTGTGTGTGTGTGTGTGTGTTTCAGCCATAGATCTGTGTGCTGAGGGGAAACACGACTGTGAGCAGGTGTGTGTCAGCTCACCTGGTTCGTTCACCTGCGACTGCAACAAAGGATACAAACTGAACGACGACAAGAAGACCTGCACAAGTACGTCTCTCACACACACACACACACACACACACACACACACACATTCTTGATTTCTCTGCTGCTTCATGACGCTGAGTGCACGTTACATCTATGTTCCTCCTTCATCCATCACGACAATAAAATAAACGTTTCTTTAACAAGAAAAAAAAACACGAGCTGTAATTTTGGCCGTGGAAAAAGTTCTGGACCCCGAGGTTAGCACGCGTCCGTTTATCCATTCACTGTTATTTATCGGCGCTCATTTTATCATTACTGTTTTATGTTGAGGTTTATTTTAAAGTCCGTTGAAAGTTGGTTACAGTTAACGTTCGGACCTCGCTCTGAGCGAGAGCATAGACCCTTTTAGGGACGACGTCACGGTATTAGCTGGAGGCAAAAAGAAGCTAAACAAGAGGTAAAGACGAATCACCACCAGAGGGTAGCAGGCGACTAAGGAGTCTTTAAATGTCGTTTTGTACGGCGCCAGAAAAGAAAGAGTCAAAGCAGTAACGTCTCGAAACTGAAATTGTACCCTAAACGAGCCGCCACTGCCGGTCAACAACACGTAAAATGTTGCTAATCTCATAGCATAGCTAACATAACACATGTGGCTAACGGTCAAGATGTCGTTATTTGCTCTGTTGACAGTGAGCTAAACCTTGTACATGGCGGTCTTCTGTCCTCGCTGCTGGTTGGTCAGAACTTCAGACCGTATTAAGTCACAAGTTAAATCGAGGTATTTAAAGTCCCGTTAGCGACGTGGTTAAAGGTATCTAAGGACTCAAACGCCCTCAGTTTGTCTTTACGAGACACTCGTCCACTGAGTGAGAGCGTTCGGCCGGTTTGCTCACTTCAGTCTTTATTTCTTCCACGAACGCTCTCTGACCCGGAGAGGAAGTGACATCATATATTCAGAGAGACTCGTATTACCTTCTGCCATTCTCCACAAACAACGTGTTAGCTAACGTCCGCTAACGTGTTTAGGAATGTTTTGCCTCCAGCTAAGCCCCGCCCACCCCAAAACATCAGACTGTTTACTAACGCTAAAAGGGTCTCACAGGTGAGGTAGGGGGTCTCACAGGTGAGGTAGGGGGTCTCTGTCTTGTTTAAGGTATGGTCTAACAGGTGAGTTAGGGGGTCTCACAGGTGAGGTAGGGGGTCCCTGTCTTGTTTAAGGTAAGGTCTCACAGGTGAGTTAGGGGGTCTCACAGGGGAGTTAGGGGGTCTCACAGGGGAGGTAGGGGGTCCCTGTCTTGTTTAAGGTAAGGTCTCACAGGTGAGGTAGGGGGTCCCTGTCTTGTTTAAGGTAAGGTCTCACAGGTGAGGTAGGGGGTCCCTGTCTTGTTTAAGGTATGGTCTAACAGGTGAGTTAGGGGGTCTCACAGGGGAGGTAGGGGGTCCCTGTCTTGTTTAAGGTATGGTCTAACAGGTGAGTTAGGGGGTCTCACAGGTGAGGTAGGGGGTCCCTGTCTTGTTTAAGGTAAGGTCTCACAGGTGAGGTAGGGGGTCCCTGTCTTGTTTAAGGTATGGTCTAACAGGTGAGTTAGGGGGTCCCTGTCTTGTTTAAGGTAAGGTCTAAGAGGTGACTTAGGGGGTCCCTGTCTTGTTTAAGGTAAGGTCTAAGAGTTGACTTAGGGGGTTCCTGTCTTGTTTAAGGTAAGGTCTCACAGGTGAGTTAGGGGGTCCCTGTCTTGTTTAAGGTATGGTCTAACAGGTGAGTTAGGGGGTCCCTGTCTTGTTTAAGGTAAGGTCTAAGAGGTGACTTAGGGGGTCCCTGTCTTGTTAAGGTAAGGTCTAAGAGTTGACTTAGGGGGTTCCTGTCTTGTTTAAGGTAAGGTCTAACAGGTGAGTTAGGGGGTCCCTGTCTTGTTTAAGGTAAGGTCTCACAGGTGAGGTAGGGGGTCTCACAGGTGAGGTAGGGGGTCTCACAGGTGAGTTAGGGGGTCTCACAGGTGAGGTGGGGGTCTCACAGGTGAGTTAGGGGGTCTCACAGGTGAGTTAGGGGGTCTCACAGGTGAGGAAACAGGAACATAGATGTCCTCGTGCACGTCCTGCTGCTCCGCTGCTTACCGCTCGCTGCTCTCCTCCCCTCAGTGATCGACTTCTGTTCCTATGGAAACCACAGTTGTGATCATGAGTGTGTGAGTGTGCTCAACGGCTATCACTGCCGCTGTAACCACGGCTACCGGCTGCTGGATGACGGCAAGACCTGCCAGGGTGAGTACTGCACACCTGAAACCGGACACACAGTCAGAGCTTCATAGAAACACACACACACACACACACACACACACACACACACACACACACTCACACATGGCTGTCACACTGGAGGTCAACACTGACCTGATGGAGCTACTCATCCATCTTATATTTATTATAAATATGGTGGTAAAGCACCAATCAGTGAGCTGTGTAGTGAGTGAAATTATAAAGTGACCTTACTACAGAGCGCCACAGGAAGGAGTCCTAAAACCAGGAAGTGAGTTAGCATGTTAGCGCCATGGGGTCTAACGTCTAAAAGTCAACGGGGATTTTGAATGTGTTTGTGGTTAGACTCCTGAAATAAGGTCTGTGGTTAACACAAGCTGAAGAGATGTTGGTGTTTTGTTAGAGCACATAAACTACGTTAGGTAATACCTCCACTTGTGAAGTTTGAAGTTTTTACTCGTCTTTAAAAAGGCGGTTGCTAACAAACGGCTAAATGTGACTACAGCGGTTGTCGGGGTCATTAAAGGTCATCACGCCGCCACACAGAGGGCGGGAACTCTCTCACTAGTCGGAGATGTCTCCTGTAGGTTTAATCTTTAGGTTCAGGTGAATATTATGTTAGTAAACTATTTATTAAACTACGTGGATTAGTTTATCGGAGATCGTCTGAAGCATAACGCTAGTGACGTCACAATCATCCCACCGTGGTGTAGTTAGCTTTAGCATAACGTTAGCTTTTTACTTCTGTCGGCCGCATTAACGCTTCAAACATCATAAAGATGGCGTTCATCTGTGAAGATGATCCTGCTGAACAAAACGCCTACGCTTCAGAAACGTGTGTTTAACACAGAGATTATTTTCTGCAATGATCCAAAATCCAATGAAAACATCCCAGAGGAGAATTCTCATTAGACCCCCATGGTCTACAAAAAATACAAAAATACATCATATGGTTTGTTCTCTATCTGATCATTAAGGAAACATGCTATGTTGAAGTGCTGGCTTCTCTGACAACAATGCAGCAGCCAGTATGTCCTCCTTCTAACTTTAGATTCTGCTCCTGAATGCTCTGGATTTGTTTGGACCAGAGAAGGTAGGCGGTTTTTAAGCGTTGGAATCCCAGTGGATTGTGGGATGTGTAGTTCCTTCAATCGCAGAAAACATTTTTTTTGTTTTGGTGCCAAAACAATCATTTTGATTTTAAGGATTTTCTGAAATGTCACCGTAGGATTTGAAGGATGAAATTTCCTTCTAGACCCAGAGCTGTTAAAAAAAGTGGACGCTCACTGTTGAGTTCGATTTCAATGAAGCTCCTCTGAGATCCCTGTAAACCAAAAAAAATATATACATGTTTTTTTAGTTTTTTATAAAAAAAAAGAAGAATGTATTATAAACCACCAGGCCAAATTTCAGCAACAAAGTTTATAAAATTAAACTTCAAAATCATGAAACATTCTCTCTCCTCTGCGATGCTGTGGGCGTGTCCATGGAATGTGCCGAAGCCACGCCCACTCGCGGAGAGACGTTCCCTTCTCAACTGTCAAAAATGTAAATGACCTGACAATGGAAATCCTCAGTTTATCACCTGAAGGCAGCGACTGATTAGAGGAGATACGATAGATGATTTGTTTAGTGACCAGCTCGTGGAGATTTCCTCTCACATCTTTAGAAATGAATACTTTAGTGTCAGTGTGCATTCAGGGACAGTGTTGGCTGTAGGTCATTTGTGTTTTGACTGATTGTGTTTCCATTAAACAGAAAAAAACGACTCAGCTTCATCTTAATGGACATTCAGGGAAGATAAATACAAAACCACTCTCTGGCTCGGATGCTGAAGGACATTTTCATAAAAATGTTCCGAAAAAAACACTAATAAAATAATGTTTCTGGAAAATAAATCTCAACACACACATACAGTTTAACTCTATGTGTGTGTGTGTGTGTGTGTGTGTCCTTTAGCCATCGACCTGTGCGCTGAGGGGAAACATGACTGTGAACAGATCTGTGTCAGCGCTCCGGGCGTCTTCAGCTGCGACTGCAACGAAGGATACACACTCAACAAAGACAAAAAAACCTGCGCACGTTAGTCAGGCCGCTCACACACACACACACACACACCACACACACACACACACACACACACACACACAGCTGAGTTATGATGATTTTAAGAGAGAGAGAGAGATCTGCTGTTAAGTGTCCTTAAAAGAAGACATGGTGCAAACGACGCCGTATGACCTGGCGCCCGCCTGAGCCTGCACTCAGGCCGGTCTCTCCTTAAAGGGGCGGAGCTAATCGGCATCTGCTTTGGCTAATATAGTTACCTCATACATACCCACTTCAAAAATACTGAACTGTCCCTTTAAGGAATTCACACTTCACTGCATCGTGGATTACAGACGGAGAATAACTTCTTGTATGTGTGTCTTTGTGTGTGTATATGTGTGTGTGTGTGTGTGTGTGTGTGTGTGTGTGTGTGTGTGTGTGTGTGTGTGTTGTGTGTGTGTGTGTGTCCTTTAGCCATCGACCTGTGCGCTGAGGGGAAACATGACTGTGAACAGATCTGTGTCAGCGCTCCGGGCGTCTTCAGCTGCGACTGCAACAAAGGATTCAAACTCAACAAAGACAAAAAGACGTGCACAAGTCAGTGCCTCACACACACACAACACACACACACACACACACACACACACACACACACACACACACACACACACACACACACACACAATCATCAACTTTATATATTTGATATTTATGTTTTTGTGTTTGAACTGTTGACCCAAATGTTCCACAGGCTCAGGTTTACCAACACACCTGTTCAGTGTTGACATAAGATAAGATGTGATGCACTCCCTTTGTTTGAAGTTGTGGCATCATCATTGGATCTGCAGAGTGTGTGTGTGTGTGTGTTGTGTGTGTGTGTGTGTGTGTGTGTGTGTGTGTGTGTGTGCAGGAGTAAGTGACGTATGTGTTTCTCTGCTTGTGTGTGTGCAGACATGGACCTGTGTAACACGGTGGAGCACGGCTGTGAGCACCAGTGTGTGAGCACTCCAGGATCGTACTACTGCGTCTGTCCTGAGGGACGACTGCTGCAGGACGACGGCAAGAGCTGTGGCAGTAAGTCCCCCCCCCCCCCGACATCTGAACATCTTAAAGGCTTAATATGCGATTTTCCACACTTAAATGTATAAATGTAATAGAAATCAAGTTTATCCTCTGAAAATAACTCTGTGAGTCATGACTCTCTGAGACTCAGCAGTGTCCTGTAGGCACAGGGCTGCAGGGGGATCAGGGTCCTGGGGGTCCTGCGGGACCAGAGATGTTGCAGGTGCAGGATGTGAGCGCTCAGGCTGCAGCAGGAGGTCAGCATCATAATCTCTGAGATCAGTCTGAGCCGGCAGGAGGCAAACAATCATCTTTACAGATCTGAGCACACTGATCAATCAGATGAGACTCAGCAAACTGGACAAACATAGCTGAGATCAGGATCAGAGGAAGAGGAGAGCGCCGTGTTCCTCCAGAGATGAAATAAAAAAGTGTTTAAAAATAAATCTAACTCGCTGTGATGTTAAAAACAGATCATGTTTGTCTGTGAGGATACAAAGAGAGAGATTTGATCTTTTGAATTTCTCTTTCCCTCTGGGGGCTGAGAGGAACACCGAGTGCCTGATGGTAAAATCACAGAGCACCCCCATGTGGGGATGGTCGGTACTGCAGGCAGGAGCATGTAACCGCAGACCTCCTCTGTTGATATGAAATCTGTCAGAGTGATCAGAGAACCCCTGATTTAGATAAAACGTGATCTGATGTGACAATGTCAGAAATAATAAATACTGAAACATGAACGTGTTAGTCTTTTAATTAAAGACAGAAAGAGATTTAAAGTGAAAGTAAGGATTCATGTTGTCACTGACTGACAGTTGAGCTCATCTTCTGAAGCATTTCAACACAACTATTAGAAAACAAAGTATTTAAATATATCTCCCAGATTTTAATACCACGACTCATCTTTAAGGCCATACTGATATTTAAACAACTAGTTCTCATGTTATCTTTCATTGTGTGCTCCTCTGAACATGATATAATCATAAAAACATTCTGAATCACGATCCTGTAAAATGTTCCAAAATATATGATATTGGCTTTACTTTAGTCTCCTCGCTCTGCGTCTGATCGTCTTTATCATTATGGAGCTCATCATCCTGACAAAGAAGGAAGTCAAACATCCTCCAGTCAGTTTGATGTTTAGAGTGAAGGACAGATCTCAAATATAAAACATTAAAAAAACAACAGAGCAGAGTCGGTCATACAGCGGGCGTTATCAACAGACTGTTGTCATGGAGACAGGACGGACGTGCAGCGATTTATTAAAAGCACACAAACGCTTCATGCAAACTCTCTCAAGCGCTCAGTCAGAGCTTTTCTGCACGGAAAGAACGCCAGGAAACAGGAAACACCACGTCACTGTGATATGAAGACGATGAGATTTATTGGACGTCAAACACAATTAAGTAATGTGACAGAAAGAAAAGCAAACAAACTGAATCTCTCTCTCTCTCCTCTC